TTAAAAGTACAGCACAAACACTACCTTGTGTTCTTAATTCTCACAACTGCTAGTGCCCTCTCCCCCTAACTACCTTGTATTTATTTGCATTTGTTCTCTTTTTATTTATATGTATTTTTTCTTTTAGAATGTATTCTTCTTGTGAGTAGGAATTGTTTCATTCTTCTCTGTGTATGCATGCGTGTGTGTGTGCGCGCACGCATGCATGTGTAGGGGGAAGGGAAGAGCACAATATCCCCACCACCTAGCGTGCTGCCTTATGTGCAGAGTTTTTTTTTTTTAATAAATAATGGTTAAGTGTGTACGTATTTATTTGTGAAACACACACAAGAAATTAATTATATATGTTTAATGTTAGTGCTACAGAATATAAAAACTCTTTTTTCCCTAGGTTCTATTTTAACTTCAAATTGCCTACAATAAATAGATTTGTAAACACCTGACCAGGTCCTACCTTGTAAAGTTCTTCATTACCAAGTCTAAAGAAGTCATCTATTTCCATGCAGTTTTCTACAGTCCCTGGAATCCACTGGGTATCAGTCCTTTGATCCTTGAAGTAAGTGTAAATTACTTAACTTTAGGTCACTTGTTCCCACTATCAGTACTTAGCAGCCTCTGGTAATGTTAAGGTGATGTATTTGCTCAATGCCTCTATTTCAGAAGGACCACTGAATTGCCATTCTTGGGTAGCCCATGTTCAGTTCATCTCTTTGTAAATGGAGGCTGGAAGGTGATGGTTTTACTGCTGAACGTACACATCAATCTGGTGACTCCAAACTCACAGCTGTCTACTGGTGCAGTATAGTTTATCTTTGGTTCTTTGGTTGAGGTCCCACTTCCAATCAAAGCAGTGGGGACACAAAGTCAATCTGAAAGAACACCACTTCTGTTGCTGCATAGGGGTAATTTATTGGTTACTTTCTTATTCACAATCCTTCTCAATGACTAATGAACTACAGGGCCAAAGCAAGCTGGAGGACTAATTTAAGATCACCAAGTAGTTTAATGGAAAAAGACACTTAGGTAGTTTTAAGTAGAAAAATAAAATTACCATATGAGAGAGATGAAAATGTTTGGTGGAGCACAAAGTGGTGTCATTTTTAAGGCTTTCTATAATCTGGCTGCTGACTTTCCTGTCCATATTGCATTTCTTATTGATCCTATATATAGACTTTTCACAATCCTATGGGAAGTAGATTCCATCTTCCTATTTTCTTGACCTGACCTCTACTTGTTAATGTTTGTGGGGTTTCATAACATCACACCTTTCCTTCCAAATGTAGCAGAATCCATATTTTTTAACAGCATTCGACAGGTTTTCAAAGTGTTTTTCATGTACTGAATATTCTATTTCAGGCCTATGATAACCCTGGACAACATCCCTTCCCCCTCTCTCCCAACCTACTTTGCAGATGAGAAAACTGAGGCTTCTAATAATGATGAGGAAGGAAGGAAATCTAGGCTTTTTTTCTTTTTTGGGGGGGCGGGGGCAAGGCAATCAGGTTAAGTGACCTGCCCAGGATTACACAGCTAGCTAAGTGTCAAGTGTCTGAGTCCAGATTTGAACTCAAGTCCTCCTGAATTTAGGGCTGGTGCTCTATTCATTGTGCCACCTACCTACTTGGAAATCTAGTCATTTTAAAGGTAATTAATTTTCTTCTGGTAAGAAATAGATCCAGTTTATAACATTACAGGCTTAGGGTACAAATTCTCTTCTTTCCTTTGCTAACTTTGATGTCTATTAATCAAATAATTGGGGAGTTAAGTGGTGCAGTGGATAGAGTGCTAGGCCTAGAGTTAGGAAGACTCATCTTCCCGAGTTCAAATTTGGCCTCAGATACTTGCTAGCTGTGTGTCCCTTGGCAAGTTACTCAACCCTCTTTGCCTCAATTTCCTCATCTGTAAAATGAGCTGGAAAAGGAAACAACCAACCACTGCAGTATCTTTACAAAGAAAAACCCCAATTGAGATAAGAAAGAGTCAGAGTGACTGAACAACCACAAATTAAATAATCATCCACAAATGTCAAAATGAAAATCTTGCTTCCTATGGTTGTGAAGTTTGAAAACCCTAAGAAAGCCATTATTCAGTATGTTGATAAATCACCACACAAGGGGCATGTCAATCCTAAGTAAGAAGAGGATGGGAATAAGCATTTGAGATACTGCCTGCTATGTGCCAGACACTGTGCTAAGTGGTTTTTTGAAATATTATATCATTTGAGGTAAGTGGGAAACGTTTTAGAACGTACATAGAAATTTTTTTAAAGTAAACCTTGAAACATGTCTGTAAGTCATGTTCTCCTCTCAATATTTAACATCAGCAATATTTAAGTGACTCCATACACAAGGTGCCATGACAAACACAGTACTAAGTATCATAAAATAGTTACATTCTGTGTATGTACTTTCAATGTCCCCTGACACTATTTATTTAGTCAGGCTCCCACTTCTGTATTAGGTACAAGCACTTAGCAAATGGCAAACAGGTAGAGGCATGCTATCAAAACGAAGGTAAAGCACGTGCCAGCAAAGCAGTATGGGTATGTCTGGACCAAAATGACAAGTATTGGTCTAAGCATCAACAAAAATAGCCTTTGAGAAAAATGAAGGAAATGGGACTTGATATCATCCAAGGAATTAAAAGTATAGAGCCTAAGAGGCACTAAATTTTGCAGAAGTCATGAGAAAGAATAGAGTGGTAGCTCAAAGGATTAATTTATTAAACAAATATTTATTAAGTGCTGAGGCAGTATGCTAGATGCCTGGGATGCAAGAACAAAAACAAACAGTTTTCCCCTCAAGAAGCTCATATTCTTTTAGGAACAACTAATTCTTACTGAAGGTTTCCAACAAGAAAAAAGAATCATAGTGCAGAAGTACTCAGAGGAAAAAAAAAACAACAAAACAGTGATCCTCCGTTACTTTTTCAGTCATTCCATGAAACATCAGCATTAAGAAATAGTGTTATGGAGGTCACGTACTACGTGTCATAGGCTCTAGAGGGGAGTGGCCTTACAGTTCACCCAGTTAAACCTCCTCACTTTACATAGGAGGTAACTGTGGAGCCCAGAGGTGAACTGATTGTGATTTGTCTCACAATTAGCTAGCTGCAGAGGCTAGGTTAGAATCAACACCCTTTGACTTCCAGTGTACTCTTTACACTACACAACACATGGTTATGTATTCTTTTGTCCATAATTTGGGGCTGGAGGAAACCCATGAACCCTGAAAGGAGATAACATGTTACTTTGAGAATGCAAGAACCTAATTCAGTTTCTTCTTAGACACTTTTGTGTCCTCCAAAATATTTTTAACATTTATAGTGATCCTAAGGGTACCCATGAAAGTGATAACGTTTTAATAACAACAACAGTGTACCACAGAATTACTGCTGTAACATAGAGCAAGACATTTCTCCTCAAAGAAGCTAATAAAAAAATAAAAACAAAGTTCCTGAATATCTTAGCTACAAGATGTCAATAAAATTGAATTTATGTCTGGTTTAATTCAGCAATGGAATAGTCAGTAGTTAAAGGGTAGATAAACTTCCCCTCGTCTCTCTTTTCCTGAGAAACTTTCAGATGTTGAAAATCAATTCCTTTTGTCTCCTTGTTATTCATCTGCTACACATTAAATAGAAACTCTAGGCATCTCGTGATCCCGCGGGGTCTTTCATCTCTAGAGAAGCCTGGTACAAATTAAATCCTTACTCTCTCTCTCAAATTATAGATATGTATTGTAGCAAGCCATTGATTTATCAGTTCAAGCTTTTTGCTAGTTCAGCTTGGTGTGACTAGCTAATCGTGCTCTTTTAACTGAAGCTGCTCCTTCATGGGGCTGTAGTCAACTCTTGACTACAGCATTTTACTAGATTGCTCTGATTGCTGTACAAAATACAAAAAAAGCACAGTTTTATACACTATATTATACACCCACAGTTCCTAGGTCCTTGTGATAATGCCATCTAGGCAATTAGGTCCATTATATATATAAATATATAAATCACTGTACAAGAACAACAGTTTATGAGAGTAATACTTTCTGATGGCAACATCCTACTAAAAAGGATCATCATAAGGGTTATTACAAAGAATATGGAAATAAAGAATGTGTGTGAGATCACTTGGAAATATTTAATTGAAGCAAAAATGTTATTAGAGTTAGACTAGAGGGACCTTTTTAATAGTATACCAATTTTAATATTTCATTAGGCTCCCCATTTTTTTCAGGTCTTCATTTAAACGTAATGAACTTTCATTTTACCCCAAACACTTCAGTACGAGCAGTAACTATATTATTCTTTCATCACTAAGTTCCTGTTGCACACACTGCCATATGTCTCTCTCTCCCATACAGAGTTTTAAAGCTCCTTGTCTTTGTCAAGTCTACAGAGAGGTTTACCATTTCATTCCAATCTTATTCTTTATCATTCTTTGACTTTATCTTCTTCCTACCAGATGTTGTTCACTACACCCTTAAGCTCACATATAATCCCTGTAGCTGACATAAAACATCCAAATCAAGGAAAATGTTCATCTTCAGCACTTGATTCACTTATCTTTTGAGAACCTAATACTATACCAAGCATCTCTATTATTAGATTTCTTTTTGGTACGAAGACATACACAAACACAGAGATCTAATCTAGATTGAGTTATTGGGAAATTTATGGAAGTTAACCAAAATCCAGTCTTATCAATGCAAATACGAAACAACAAAATGAATTAATTTGTGAACAAATTTGCGTATTATTTCAGATAGTTAACAAAAACAAGTGGCAGTCAGCATTTGGTCTTTGATATTCATATCCAAGTTGCATGGTCAAACTTTCTCAAAATTTTAAATACACTGTCAGACCAAGACAGGGAAACCAACACATATTTGCAGTTGTGACCTCAATGGATACCCAAATTCAAGCTACAAAACATCATCGTAAAGCTTCTTCTCTTCAAGACCTTGGGTAATGGGCCATTTTCAAGGTTCCAACTAAAGTCTTACCTCACTTGAATCTTCCTGTTGGTTGATAACGGCCAGGGCATCCTCAGCGGCCTGCCTCTTTGCTTCTGCAACTGTTCGCTCCATCTTTGCTCTTTCTGAAGTGATCATGTCATGGGCCTTCCGCTCTGCCTCTGACACAGCCTTTTGCAACTCAGTCATAGCTTGACGTTTCACCTCATTGACTGCTTCCTCTACAAAGAAACAAAACCCCCAAAGGGAAAGACTGCAAATCAGCACAGCAATTTGGATTATGGCTATCTATGAAGGAGTACTATGCAAATCATACTGCGAGTCATCTGAGGGTTACACATTTCTAGTTGTATCAAGATTCCACAAAGCTCTAAAAACTGATATTTTCCCTCGATTTTGAGATTGAGAAACAATCCTATGAAAAGCCACCGGAATTTCTCTGTGATATTTTATCCATTGGACTCAACAATATCATTTTGTTTTCTAAACACATGAACATTTTCTTTTCACTCTACAGCAAACAAAAGTGAGATCAGTTTTTGGTCCATAATATCAATGTTTAATCTCCCTAATGGAGCTGCTTCAAACTTTCGGTCACCTAGAGCAGGTAGACTAATCTCTTATGAGCATTTATTATTTCTTGAATACAAAATGAACATGCCAGTTATTAAGGACTACTGGGGAGTCTGGGAGTCCCTACTTTATACTTCTGGTATTCCTCATATTGTAATTTTTATAAGTTACTGGTATAATAGAAAACAAAGTTGAAACATTTTTTCACATGATTATTAATAGTTTCTAATTCTTCTTTTGAGAACTGTTTGCTCATATTATTTGACCACTTGCCTATCAAGGAATGCCTTTTACTTATATATTTCTGTCAGGTGTGTGTGTGTGTGTGTGTGTGTGTGTGTAAAATCTTTTAGATATCAAACTCTTCAATATATTCATTGTTTTTGTTGATTTTTCCCCTTTTATCTCTTTTTCTTTAAAAAATAGTCTTTATTGTATGAGATGGCATTCTGAGAGGGTAAAGGGGGAATTTCAGGCAATGTAAAAAAACAAAAAAATAATAATATAAAAATTTTTAAATAGCCTATTTCTTTGTACACTTATCAAAACAGAGAGGAAATATGTGTAAATATATGTATATATTAATTATGTACGTGTGCATATATACGCTCCCTAACACACATCAAACCGTGTGTGTGTGTGTGTGTGTGTGTGTATGTACAATCTCCTTTAAAACCCATTCCAATTATTCTGCTAGTTGAAGAGTGAAATAGAGAATACTGAAAAGGTAACTCATAATAGCAATTAGGTTAATGCAGACCTTTTAAAGAAAATCAATGATGAAACAGACACTATAGCTTTACTTCTTCTGTAATCATTTCCTGAGAGTTATTAAGGGGGGGGTATACACAATCTATATAATAGGAAGATTTTGAAATTTACCATTGCTTTCTGACTTGTGTTTTCCATTTTCAAATTTTAAATAATCATTGCACTACTCAAGCAAACACCTACATTTTCTTTCGTTAACTTGCTTACAATACAACATGCTTTATCACAGCATTGTACCATACGAGAAAATGTTCAGGTTTTACATCTTTCATATCTGACTGAAAGAAAACACAAGCTGTCAAACTTGTTATTCAGTTTTAGATACAGAAAGAGTGCAAAGATTCTACTAATGTACAATCATACAACTGACAACTACAACAAGTCATTTCCCTTTTAAAAAATTAACTATTCTAATTAACAAGGGAAAATATCCTCCCTCTGAATTAGTTTATCTAATTTTCATCTTTATTCAAAGCAAAATGACAATGATTAATTGAAAATTTAATAAGCAGTAATTATTAACTTGGCAAACGTAGCACCAATTAACACTCTATTAAAACTAATTATGACTTGTTTCATTCAAGTGTTTGCACTTAATTGTTTCACCCACTTAAAAAGCACCTTAATTAAATGTTCTGTTTAATTAAAAACATAGATTCCTAATAAAAATGTTTTACTGTAGATTAAAAATGTAAGAGTTACAAGTACTCCTCTGGTTGCCTAGTTTTTTGAGCTTTGTTTGACATACCTGCAGTTCAGAGCTTCTGAAATCATCAAAAACCATCACCTAGGAATCAGTTGCCATGACACTTGTAACCTGCATTCTTTTACAGCAGCATTCCTTAAATTATATTATCTAAACTTCATAAACCCAAAGGTATGAACAGTGAAAGGGCACTTACTCTAACTAAAGTATGTTAAAATTATATGGGTTTTTTTAAAAATATGCTCTTAAAATGGAAATTTTGCAAAACCTGAACATTACCAAAAAGCTGAAGGCATTTCTTCACATCTCCACTCATTATCCAAGCACAATTGAATAGGATGGCAGGAACAAAGAAGGGGGGAGGCAAAAGGGGGAGAGAATGAGGGTTGAGGGAAGTCCTACTCTTCTACTATACAGTCAAGGCCTAATTTACTTTGAATATTCAAGGTGAATTAAAATTCTAAGTGGCAATACAGGACAATAATTTTTGCTTACGATCAAAGCTGCAGCTTGACTAATTGTGTATGCAAATCAGGCAATTTATATTTAAATTATGCATTCCTATTCTAGTCCCACAGGCATATACAGATCAGCAAAGAGAATTGGTAGGACATTGGCAAGGTGCTTGAATATTTATTACCAACTGCAAAAATTCTCTGATCACTTGAAAAGAAATATACAGAAGAAAACATAAAGACACAATTTTATAACCATCTTTTGAGATGCCTCAAATTTTATAAAGACTTTTTATTCTGGGGTTTGGTTTGGACGGTTGTTTATAAAGTCGGGAAGAAATTGGTCTAACACTCAGCATTAGGTAAAAATTTCAATTTCCAAAAAATTGTATGATGTGCTCTCTGTATATAATAAAATCTCTTGTAATTACAATTTTATGTTAAGAGAAGTATACTGGTTATGAATTCAAATTCAATGAAAATTTGCTTCATACCTTATGAAAGCTTTTTGATTTAATGGCATTATTTATACTTTCCATTATTTATACTTTGACCTAAACTTAAGGAAGGCATAATACTTTTCACGCAAAAAGTTTGACAGTGAGTTTTTCTATGTTTTACAATGAAACATTCCAATTTTTCCCCAAACAATATAGAATGCAAAAATAAATATATACATATTTGCATATAAATATACATTCCTCCATCACTACAAGTTGAAATGGCTTTAATAGTATGGGTAAATGCCTGATGAGAGGAGAGTTCACACTTTTTATATCATATACACTAATGTGGAATATGCCAAGTGTGTTATGAATTCATTTTATCACTTAAAGTATGTTTAGAAACCTGCCAAGAAAGGAATCCACTAAATAATAGATGATCTAGAATTTTTAGTAGTCACAGACCATCTTATAATTATATTTTATTCACAAACTATGAGAATTCCTTCAGTTTTCTTTGTATTCTGGAAGATTGGGTTATCTTTTAAGAAGAATAAAAATTAATTTGAATGATTAATAAAAGTCATACTTTAAACACATCACCACAATTAAAAACAGTGACATACAACCCTTCCTTCTTTGGGGGGGGGGGGCGCGTAAATGAACAACACAAATTGAACCAAGGTATTTTTTTCTTCTTCTATCACCTGCCCTGTCATCCCCCCTCCCTCCCAGTCCAAAATTATATGCATAAGAGACTTCAGAGAAGAGAAACTAGAAAGGGGAAAGTAAAAGTGGATGTGTCAGGTTCAGTTCTGTCCAAGATGGGAGAAGTACTGAAAAAGTAGAAAATCTTAAGTACAGAATTTGTATCTGCTTCCAATTGCTTACCACTTTAGGTAGATTTCTTTTGTCTATAGCTACTCAAATTGACTTTCTAACAAAGGTGGTACATTGAGAAAATCTGCTCTCACTTACTTAACAGCGGTCAAACAAAGGCATGAGTAGAAAATAGCACAGAAGGAAACAGAATTATACAATAGTTTACTGTTAGGGTTTTTTTCCCCCCTAGATATCAAGAACTTAATTTACACATGGAAATGTGGAGAGAAACATCCTAACAGAAACTAACCCACCGGTCCTACGATACAGAGAGTAAGTAACACTACTCTCGAGATCCAAAGAAACAACTTGACATATTCCTTAAACTTTCTTACTGGATCCAGATGGAATGTTACTTAGAAGCCAGGATGCTGTTCAGTTTGTTGCTAGACCCCAGTAAACTAGAGCTCGTAGTTTCATAGTTCTAGACCTGGAGACTTCAGAGGCCATTGAGTACAACGTTGTCATTTCACAGATGAAGGAACTGAGGCTCAGCAAAGTGAAATGACTTGCCACAATGATATTAAGATTCAGAGGCTGAACCCAGGTTTGCAGGGGTTTTTCCTTCACCTTCAACTTGCGTCCTCAATTTCATAACATAGAAGCTTCATAGTCACATTGTACACTCGGAAAATAAAAACTAGAAAGGAGAACTGGCAGAAGTGTTATAAAGGAAATGATAAAAAACTACATGCTAGAAAGAAGTCTTTCACTCTCAGACTTATATACTTATACATAGCTATGTGCATATATATATATAGTGAGTATATGTGTGTGTTTATGTGTATACAAAACATTTAACCTAGAGATTCAGCTGTCTAGACTGCCTTGACTTGCTGATAAAAGAATCTTCTTTTTAGATATCAATCCATGCTACTAAAGCCTTGAATACTATCAGATTCCTAATTTCAGTACCAGCCACTTAGAAAAACAGATAAATCTTCAAATATCCATGAAGATGCAATGGACAAAGTCTAAGTGACCAGAGGAGAGGCGGCCAGTTGCATGGAACTGCAAACATAGCTGAGTCAAATCAAAACAAAAATAGCAATCTTTTATAGGAGAGGGAAAAAAGGGCCTCATTTGACTCCTGCCCCATGATTATTGCTGCCAGACCATGGCCTGTCTAATACCTGTAAATGTAGCACTTCCCAGATCTCTAACTCAGGTAGGCAAAGCTATTTTTAATGTTGAAGCTGCAACAGTTCAAAGCCACAGCAGGTTCTAGTTACAGTGCAGTTTTCCTCCTGTCACCTCTCAATTTCTTCAGCAGTTGTGCTGTATCCCCTCACTTGGCCTTGTACAATGGTCTGTTTAGCTGTTATGGTACTGACATGACAGACCACTAAGATTCTGTCAGATCTGAGAGTCCTTTACTTGTGCTTTTTAGTCAGTGAACATAGCTTGGAAGGCTTTGGATTTATCGCAGAGTATAAAGTAAAGGCATTTACAATAAAAAAAATTATGGAAACTTCTATCATTTAAAAAAATTAGTCTCTCCTTAGCCCACCCCACTCTTAATCACTGTCAGGACCTAGCAATTAAAATCATTTTAATTCAACATAACCAAAAATTTCTTTAAGCCATCATCCAAATGGGTCAAATAGCATTGATGGGAATTTTTTTCTTCCTTTCTCTTTTTTTAAAAAAAGTGTATGTGGAGGCTGTGGGGAAGGCGGAGAGGGCTGAAGTATGCAATTTCATTTTTAAAAAGCCAGATTTTTTTTCTGAAAGAAAAATTGCACACAAGCTGAGACCCTGTATGCCACACTTCAGCCTGAAACCATTATAGCCCCCTGAAAATAGGGGTTTCTAATGGAAATATTGACAGCCCCTCAATTATAGTGGCACTAGCAGATGTTGCTATAATAAAGACTATTTCATGTTCTAATCAGGCCTGGTTTAAGAATATTAAATAAGTTTTTTTTTTTTTAGTTGTTGTTGTTGTTAGCAGTGAGTCCTTTCTTGTCATTCTTCACATCAGTGCATTAACAACTGCACACAGCTGTCAGAACACTAAGCTCATGTTTTTAAACAATTCTTACCAGCTTTCTTCCAGATCTCCTCTGGCACATATCCAGAAGCAGGCCTGTGAAGGAATTCCCGATGTGATTCTAGGAGAAGAAGGGGGCAGAGAGGAAGGGGGGAAGAGAAGAAGAGAGGGAGGGAAAACATTACAAGCATTGTTAAGTTATTGTACATGATTTAGAGAACTGCCCATTTTCTTGGCTCCTTTATACCCAACAAAATTGTTTAAAGAATATTTTACCTGCAAAATTTTTTTAAAAGCCTCAAGCCATCAAATCTGAAATAGAAGAGATTGACACTATATGTCCTAAGGTCTATGTGTTTCAAGTTTATCTAGTTTTACTTAACATTTATATTTAAAGTACAATATAGAGTTTGGTAGAAGTTTTTTTTGGGGGGGCGGGTTGGGGAGGGGAGATGAGATTTTTCAGTATGGAAAAAAAATCCTTGTTTTTCATTTGTCTTATTAAAGAAACTAAATTTTATTGCATGATTTTTTTTTCAAGAGGAAGAAAATGTTCTGCTAGAAAACAAAAGATAAGCTAAGGTGTCAGTTTGCTACGACTTTCAACATATAGCCTTCAAGAGAAAAAAAAAAGGAGAGGGTGGGGAGAATTAATCCATGTCCCATTACTTCTCACACTTAAGTGAATCTTATCAAGTATTAAAATTGACCACTGTCATTTCAAATAAGTTTTCAAGGAGAGTGAATTGAATTTCAAATTAAAACTTGGGCTTGGGTTATGATGGTCTGGGAGAGGAATTTATTGAAAAATGAGTCAGCATATGACAAAGTTCAAGGTAGATTCTAATTGCTAAAGTCACAAGGATAGGAAATGTGGTGGATAATAAACACAAGGATTGTACCTTTTTGTAATTAAAATAAACCGAATAGCTTGCTCAATCTAGCATCTTCCACACCTGATACATCGAGTAGAAATTCCTTGCTGGCACAAAAGCCACTTTAAACTTAAAATTTTGATTAAGAATACATTAAACTCTCATTTATCTGGAAGCCAACTCACTAGTAAATTCAAACAATTGGAAATTTTCTGCACTATCATTTCATGAGAAAAGTAAATGACAGTAAAAAGAGGGCTCACACAGAATATTTGTTTAAAGGTTTACAAAATGCTTTCTTCGTAACAATATCAGGAAATCAATTAAAATAAGAAAGTTTAGACTTGGCATTATGGGAAAAAACAATCCTTCTAACAATTATAAGTATCCAAAAATACAAAAAAATTGTCAGCAGGTAGTTGGATAAACATTAAGATGAGCCTTCAAAGAAGAGGCTCTATAGATGGTCATTTGTTAGGTACACAGTAGTGTAGGTTCTTATCAAGGTCCATTTAGATCATCCCTTAGGTTCCCTTCTGATTTTAAGTCTATTACTCAGTAAACTTAATTAAAACACCATCTCCCAAGGTACACTATAGTCAAGACAGGGCCCAATATCCTAATAAAGGGTTAAAGGATTATAAGAGTTACAGGTGGAATGGACGTCAAGGGCCCCCATTTTACAGATGGAGAAATCAAGGGTATATGAGATTAAATGGCCTGTCCACCTCAGCTAGAAAGTGCCAGGGGGAGAATGCAGACCCAGGTCCTTTGATTCCAGAGCTAGCACTCTCTCCAGTATACCATATTACCTCTTTCTTCTACGGCTCACAGTGTTTGTTGTACAAAATGATCTTTTTGGTCCTTTTTAGCTTTGAGATACTACAACTCTTTTTTGTGACAATGACTAAGGCACTGAAATAATCTTATTCAGCATAATTTTACTGTCAAATACATTTCACTGCATTTTGATATTTTGAAAACTGGAAATCTAAGATATTTATGTTACAACTAGAAAATCAATAGGCCATCTTAAACTTTCCTATACATTTTGAGGGCTATTTTACAATTCAAAACACATGGATGATGGTGATGGTACAGATTGAAACATCCTGTTTAGTAGGTACTCAACAAAAATAAGGACTTAGTATTCCTGAAAGAAAGAGTAATATTCACAGTCTCTTGAATATGTTAAAGGGAATGTGATTACACTCAACAAAAGGTCTACCAAAGTATTTCAATTTTTATTAAAAGACCACAGAAAAAGACATGAAGAGTCACAACTAGTTAGCCACAATTCATTAATATACCGAAAGAATTACTCCTTAAGAGTACAGATAGCACTTACGGAAGAATTTAAGGGCAAATGTATTATGGCAAGAAATGTTAATAAACATTTTAGGCAAAATGGGACATTTGAAAAATTGGAAGAGAATGAAAAAAATATTTCTAAATGAAAGTAAACATATATTAAGCTTGAAGGCCTCACAACAGCAGGTTAGTACTTTTACTGACTGGGTTAAGGAAATGAGGCAACCATAAAGTCATCACTGTCTTAATAGGCATATTAATTAAAGAGCCACTAATTAAAACATGAGTGAACTTGGCATTTGAAATGTAATTATCTAGCAAGACCACAAGTGAAAAATCCTAGGCAGGAAAAACAGTACTACTATTCACAATGTGATAGAATATATAGAACAAAGCAAGTTGCCCAGTTTAATTTATATTTTGTTGTTGTTGTTTTTAATCCTACTTCTAATCCTCCCATGGTATTGGAGGGGCGGACCATAAGCTCTTGAAGACTGGGTCAAAGAAGAGCAAACATGATGAGAGACTGTTTTCTCTGACATATAAGAATCAACCTCGCTAAGTTCAGTGAGGCCCCTCACCAGAACACTGGCCATCAAGTGATGGATTTTTTCACATCTATGAAGACATGAAAGAGTTGCAATTGCTAATAAAGGAAGGCATACCCTTGCATAGGAACATATGGATGATGATGGTGATGATGATGATGATGATGATGATGATGATGATGATGATACTAAGGAATGAAAAAGCACTTAAGTACTTAGTATTTGACAGCCTTTACTTATAGAGCACTTTGTGGTGTGAAAAATGACTTACAAACATGATCCCATCTAATCCTCACTACAAATCTATAAATTTTTTTTTCAATCCCCGTCTTGCAGATAAAGAAAATAAGGTTTGAAAAGGTTAAGTACTTGCTCAAGATCACACAAGTGGTAAATGTAAGAAGCGGGATTTGAACTCTATTGTTTCCTGACACTACTACATCAAGCTGGATTTCAGAAGTATTTGTTCAAACAGAATTAAATTACATTACAGAAAAATTGTCTTCATAATTTTCCACTCCCTGAATAATGACAAACTGGGGGCATGAGCTGATGTCCAAAGTTCCATTAAGTTTGTTGACTCAGTAGTAAAATTCTGGTTTCCCTGAGGCAACAGATTGTATTCTCAAACACTATGAATACAGTTTCGGTGCTTAAATATCTTTCATTATAGAATGAAATATTTTAATCAGAACGTTTTAAAAAGTTGTATATAAATAAAGACATGTTAGACAATACCTCAATCCACTGGCTATAATAGCTCAACCCACTCCCCCAAATTCCTCAATTATATACTGCCAGGTACAAACACAATGCAAATCTCCCTAACTGAGAAATATGAAGGAAATATCAAGTCAGTCCATGAAAAAATGAGCACTATTCATACTGAATAATTTTGCAAAATATTTTTTTTAATTCAAAATGGAGGTGGGAATATATTTAGCAAAAAGGACATGGTTATAAACATCTACTCCAAACCTGATTTAAAGGTCTTTGATTAGCTAACAGATGCTACCCATAGCAGAGGGAAAAAATGGAAGTACTTATACTTCAGACTCCAGAAATCTGCTTTATCACATCTTGACAAATATTATTATAATATACCCATCTGGGTCTAAGAGGAAAAAAAAGGTTTTAATAAGGAGCTTATTTCTTCTTTTGCAGATTTAAGCAGCACAATCAAGTGTGTTCACATACAGGATGATTTTGAACTGATTAAAACACACAAAAAAAAACCCCCTGCTTTCCAATCACATAAAGCCTTAAGTTAGACATTTTTACTTTTCATGATAGATCATACACATTAGCTCTTTACTGTTTTAGATTCTCACTAATAACATAAAGAGACCATCATCAACTATGTGAAGACATCAGCCAGATTTTGAAAAAGGGTTTTTTAAATTAGTTACCTAGAAAACCTTGACTGGTGTAAAATGTAGAATTATTCTAAAATTAGTGATAGAAAAAGAAAACTGATATCTTCTAAAAGGTTTTATTCTTGAATAAATATACCTGCAGACATGGTAGGGAACTGCCTAACATTCATCAATGATTAGTAAATTGGTATAGAGTATCTCTATTAACAGGACTCTTATCAATTTATTTCTCATGTAAAATTCATCACAAGCATTAAGGAGCTTTGTTAAACGTGGACTTTTGAACCCTAACTTCATTCCCAAACTTTGGGAACAAAAGAAACTTAAGTATAATTAATCATGTTGCTAGGTTCATTCAACATCATTTTAATGTGCTTAATCCACTCTTTCCCCATCCCCAGATGTTTAATCCATCTCCCCCCAATGGTGATAAGTCATCAACAACAAATGATTAGGGTGAAGTAGCAATGATAGGCAACTATGACCAATAATGGACACTTAGCTATGAAGTTTACACACACAGAACACAATTGGCCGTACTAAAGTACCATATTATTACATGAGTTTAATCACTCTATTCAGTTAAATCATACACAACTTTGATAGGTGACTTTTCTCTATCAAACTGAAAGCTTATGATGCTAGTATTGATCTTATCATTACATATCACCACTGTAAAAGGTGATGTTAAAGTTTGAAACTGTTTCTATAAATTTAAAAGAAAATTAAGAGCTGTTTAAAAAGAGAGCTATCAAAACTTTGGTCACAGAAACCATATGGGGAATACTATTGTATATAATGTCAGATAAGAAAACTGCATCAGTTGTTCTTGTTTATCAATTTCTCCTTTTTATGAGGGAGGTACAGTTCTGGGGCATGCAAAGTGAGTTAACCCTAAAATAATAGATGTAGTAACAAAAGGAATAAATATTTTTAAAGCAAGCAATTAAGAACAAAAAAGCAATATTGATAGCTAAAGGATTAAAAAATAATAATTTGAAAACTTTCAAA